AAAATACAGTCACCGTTAATGGCAAAAATGATACCGGATAAGGCTTTGTTGTTGCAAAATATTATCACGCATGCGAGGCTTTTTATTCGTAATTTACGAAGCGAAGAGAGACCGAAGAGCCACAATTTAATGCGACGAATAATGGCACATTGTACATTCTATCACATATTCGTATCGCGTCAGTCGTTAGAGACGAAAAGAATCATTCATTATATCTGACGGGAGATTTTTCGCGAGTCGAGTTTCACGAGTCCCCGAACGGCCGTGCTATTGTAACAGCGCTCTCTTCGGCTGCTCTCTCGCACAAGATCGAGCCATCTTCCTCCAGATCGATTACGGCACCGTCGACGAGCGGGATCCGCAGGACGATCGTAACAGCCGAGCGCGAGTAATTACATATCCTGCACCGGTCGTTAACAGTTCTGCAATACAAAACCGCCATCGCGCTGCCTCGGCATACGGCCTTAGCAGCGGGGAAAATGCGGAATTTATTCGTCGGCAACGGTTAGTGGGCGCGAGACCGTTAAAGCCGCAATCTGTTTATCAATTCGCGTTAATGACGACGTACATGAACGAGCGATAGTTCATTCAGTCCTAGTTGAAACGCGGGGGAGTATTTTATCTGTAACATTACGGTTACATCGCGCTTCAGAGGTAACGTAATATGAAATAATATACGCCGTGAAAGCACTGCCTGTGTTTCTACATTGTGTTTCGCATTATAATATATTAAAATATATTATAATTATTTGAGATCATAATGATAATATTCAAGAATTATAATCAAGTGAGAGACGCGGTAATGCTGATTAACAAGGTGCTATCTCGGATATTAATCACCGCAATTTGGAGGTACCAGTGCGTACACACTCTCGCCGGTACCGCACGATACTACCATAATTTACCATTGCGCCAATTATTGTACTGTCACGGTGTGACGGAACGCGGTAATTTCCTTGTATTATAGTGCGGAGCATACTAGTGTTAATACCAGCGTGTCGCTCGCATTCTCCAAGTATACGTGGACAGTCCAATTGGGACGAAAAAAGTGAGACACGCTGTTTCAGTTTTTCAATTACCAACCGATCGAGAGTCGAAGTCCTTTGTCAGGTGTCAAGTTGTGTCTCAACAAATCGACGATAGAAAATGGAGAATACGAGGGAGTTTGGGAAGAGAAATGACGGTCTTCGCGACGTCGGTCCCAAATGCGTGTTCGGAGAAAGCACGCGACCGCGTGGGTCATCTTCGACGGGCACGGTTTTACTCACCCAAGTGAATGTACTCCCCAGCCAATGCTGGCGTCGACGCGAATATCGAGGAAATCCCTTGAAACAATTATTGTCCGTAATGATGATCGTGACAGCCGTGTCCCAGTTGCAGTTTCGCTCGCGGACCGTGAGCATTCTATTGTTCCTTTCGTTGGGAAGGCATTGCCTAAGATATATCCTGTCATTTTTCTTTAAACAACGAGGGGATCCACGATGAGCGATTGAAAATCCGACGACGTAAATACGCACGGTCCCTCGCGCAACGAAACTCGTTTCGCTAATTTCGATATCGGTTACACGGAAAAAAAGAGAAGCAGCTCCCACAGCTAGAAACGGATTCCCACGGTTGGAAATTAGTTCTCACAGGGTAAAAATTAACTGTCCGTGTAATACAATTGAAATTTAGTTAGTTTAACTGATTCTTCTTTTTCTCTTTGTATCTAATTTTTTACTACTTATTTTTGTTATTTGTTAAACGAGAAGAATATTAAGCGGGAATATTTTTATTATTTAACAAACGGAAAGAAATTTTCCCTTTGAAACAAAAACACATAATTAATTACGCTTGCTTACTTTACACAAAACTAACTCCGACAGCTAAAAATTTTGTCTGGTAATTAAATTTCACTTGTATTATATGGACATCTAATTTCTTTTTTTCGTGTACACGTGCGTACACTATTAACTCTATGTCGAGATTAGTACCTCGAAATGTTTCTCGTAATTACGTAGATTTTTTTTTAACGTGTACCTCGAATTTGGCTACACAGAGTTAACGGTGTAACAGTTCAGCGTGTTATTATTGGCCTAATATTGCAATAACAATAAGTCGCATTATAATATAAAATTAGTGAATTATAGTATCTGTAGTGACTGGGACACGCTGTCATCGTATCATAATTGCATCAAACACAAGTAAATATTTAATAAATTCAGTAAATCCTCGTAGCTTCTATTCGCTGTTACAAATGAGATGCAGCGCGGCTTCGTACATAATGTGATCAGCGTGAATTGGCAAGAGTTGCTCCATATTTTATATCCGTCGTATCTCTCATTCTTATGATCCGGCGCGACCTGAATTTCGTGGGGCCGCTTTCCTTCGGTTGATTTGCTGTCGAGTGTACTCACCTTCGTTACTCAATCGAATGCGGCATAACATGACGTCCTTCTTTACGATTAAAACACGTAGAAAGAGAAAGAAAAGTGGTGGAAGTCGTGCCTTCGACACCGATCGCTAATTTGCTCGTCCAATCATGATCGGAAACAGGTTATCGGACAGATGTTGAGCGAGAATTTAGTGAAAGAATTTAGGACAAGTGTCGGCGCGAGAATCGCCGACACAACGGGATCCTTGCTTTTGTTAAGCTACCTTGAACGACTCTGCAGCGTTTCATAAAATATTCGCGACTACAAAAGACGTTCCTATATATTTATTTCTATAGCGGTTCATGGAGGCTCCAATTTAGGAAATATTTATCTTAAGCAGGCTTGTTATATCTTACGAAGTTTTCACAAAGTTTGCTTAACCTACCCAACATTTCACTTATCTCACCTATTTACCTTCCAGAATTTAATCATGATTTATCTCGTTTACTTCAGCTCGCGCAATATCCTTCGTGGTATCGCGAAAACAGGTTGAGAAGGGGCCTTTTTAGAAAACGATATATTTTGATAAATCACGGACGGGCGAGCGAAAGTACCGATCCTTCTCCGCGGAGAGTTTCGAGCGGTGTTATTAGATCTGAATTGTGCGGGGATCGTTTTATTTTTAAGTAAACGACGCGTCATTAGACGAACGCAGCTCCGCGGTGACAGCGAGAGATTAATAACGCGCGCGTTCGTAAATCCGTCTGGTCTCGATCGAACTCACTTTCGTTCGACGGTAATGCAGGAGAATACACGTACACGCTGATCGAGATCGCGCGCGATCCGTCCGACCGGTGGACGGGCTCGTCCTTTAAATTCATAGCTGAGAAAGTTGCCGGGATCGTGATCCCCTGTTAATCGTACCGCGCCGCGATCCTTTTACTCGCGCGCCATCTCATAACTCCTCTCATATATTCTCTTGACGTTCAAACACCTCCTGGCCGATTTCGCCTTACACGCGGGATAATTTTTCACGCAATCGAATAGTTAATTACGTCTGACTTCCTAATGGCGCTCTTACTGTCCGCGCGAGAAAACGAGCCGCTGAAATTCCGCCCCGAATTCCCCGTCGACGATGTAGCGGACGTGAATATCAATCGACGCTCTCGCTAAATTATCCGCTAACGCTTTCGTAATTTTACGCCTGGCTGTTCTCCTCGTTACCATAGAACGGATTTATCATTGATTATTCATTTATTAAAATGCGACAGCGAGATACGAAAATAGAAATTTACAGTCTGCAAAGTATAAGAATATCGAATTATCAATGTCGATTGCACGTTTAATGTCTTGAAATCAAAACAACGATAACGTCATCCTGGAAATGCGACTTTTCCAGGGTCTCAGGCGCGTCATCCTTTTGAACATTACACTATCGGTTGAATATGCGCCGGCTATTTTCTACGTAATTTCGCGTCAATAACCGCTACCTACGAAGGGTGCGGACGGCCCGAGGAAACCCGTCCGTCACATCCGCGCGACAAAGACGCGTCGCAGCTCCCTCCGTTCCGCCGCCACAGACGCTCTTCCCTCCTGGCTACCCATATGTATTCCCCGATGCCCATGGGACCCGCAGGCATCTCCCTCCCTGTGTTGGGGCCACGTAAGTCGACCAATAGACCACCTCTCTCTGTCGCTCATTCTGCCGTTCTCTCTCTCTTTCTCTCTCTCTCTCTCTCGCTCTTTCGCCGAGCTCCCCTCTCGATCCTCGCACGGCCCCCTAGTCGAAGACTTCGTCTGGCGTCTGGCGGCAGTTCGGAGCGAGACGCCGACACGACGTACGACGGGTATTTTCGTCCTCGTTCTCGCGTTTCGAATCGCGACTCGAGTCATCGTCGCCGTCCTCTTCCTCCATCTCCTCCGTTTACGTGTCGCGGACTCTCGACAGGAATCGCGCGGCGGTCGTCATTGGCGGCCGAGTCCCGGCTTCGGAGAACGTGCTGCCGAGACCCGTTGCTGATGTGGAGGTGCGCGCGTAACAGGTCCTCGCGTATCCTTTCGAGTGGCGGCGACCGGCGTGCCGGCCTCCACCAGCGGCTTTTCAGCGTCCACTCTGTCGGCCACGTGACCGGAACGGCCAAAGGTTCGCGCGCTTGAAAAGCGAACCCTCGACCACTGCCGGTCACGTTGAAAATCGGACGTGATAGATTAGTCGTGTGTACAACCATCGTCAACCGCCATCGTCAGTCGCCACGTCTTCGATTACACCCGCAGGATGAGCGACGGTAGGTGGAAATTGAAAATTTGAATGCATCGGGATCGCGGCGAAGGACCACGAGAGTCTCGTAGGGGTCCAGGTATATCGCGCGAGCTCCCTTCCAGCCTCCGTGTCCCTCCCATTCAGGCACATTGCATTCATCCAGCAGCAACAGCAGCCGGTACACGAGCATACCTATACATATAAACGCGCGCACACATCACACATTCACACACACTGGCGCGCGCGCACGGACGGTCGGTCCGGAGAAGAAAGCGCGTCCGCTTGGCGGGTCTCTCGTATCGCTTCGTCTCGTCGCGCGTTGTCCTTCCCGGGCATTTCCCATTCCGGAGGAAGAAGATAGTGACCGTGTCGTCCTGGTGTCGCAGATACGCTCCTCTTGACCTCGAGGAGGACCGGCGAGGACGAGTGGTGACCCCCTCCCTCCCCCCTCGAGATGACGTGACGCACCGGACGAGAGGAATGCCGGTGCGCTGACGCGGACCGCTCCTCTTCTTCGGCGGATATCTCGTCGACGACATGCGACCCGGGCATCGGGACGCCGTCCGGACGGATTCGAACGGTTGGCGCCCGATCAGGTTCTGACGACCGTCGCGATCACGGCCGACTCGTCTCACCGTGTTTCTCGTAAGTAGGAACGGCCCCGGGCCTACGAATGGGATTGAACCGTGTCGATCCGCGAATCCGGATCGATGTTCAAGTTTCGCCGAACAATGCTCGAGCTTCCAGCCTCGCGCGAAGCGCTCGACGCGACGCGGTGTCATCGGCTGCTCGGTCGAAGTTCGCTGCGGCCATGCTTGAAATTCGTAAGTGTATTTCGGAGTATTTCGAGTACGAGAGAAACATTGAATTCCGCGAAGGAAGTGCTCGGAGCTCATTATGTTTACCATTGAACTAGCAGGTACTGGAAGTTTCAAGGAAACCGAGTGTTTACATCACGCAACGGCGTATCATTAATTCCCAATGATTTCTGCTCCATATCGTGAATGAGGAATATCGGTTTATGCGATTTATGCGATTTATGCCTCATCGTGAGATCTTAGCTCTAAGTAATGGTTTGTAAATCTTTCCATCTAAGTTATCATTACCATTCGTAATTCGGATCGGACGTCCCTTCAGAACTTTTCTGATACTACTCGCGATACACTCGATCCCATTCCTACTCACGACTTTCGAGAGACGCGTTTTCTCGCGAATCTCCTCTCGATGAGGAAAGATCGAAAGTTTGGGAAATTAGTCGTTTTCTTTTGAAAGGAATTTACACATCTCAGATGTACGAAGCGTCTTTAATAAATCATCGGCCGACCCGGTCGGTGCGTTTAGAAATTAACAGTCACGGTAACTTTCGCTAAACACTTTATTGCAACTGTATCAGGATTTAATGCGTCCTTTAATTAAAGACTTACTGACTCGACACAGTTCATTAAATCAATATATTCAATCACATTTGATCGGAATTTAATAATTATATATATAGAGATAGAAGCACAAATGTGAATTAGAAACAGGATTTGAAGAGAAGCGCGCGATTGTTCGTTCGGGTATTCAGCGAATTCGCGTCGTGATAGCCGTGAAATTGTCGAAATCTCCGTGACGCAATTAAGAATTGATCGCTCCGGCGGTTTCGTGAACGAAGTGACTGCCTGAAGGAACTACCGTTAAAGCGATCGTGACCTCGATTTATCCACGGCGGATTCTGTGTGCAGATCCGCGTCTTTGCGGCGATACCCGCCTAAATAACCGGATCTGCTACATTTTATTGCACCGAGCGCGTATCGATGACGACGACACGTTGGTAGGACGTGTTTTGTTGTGTCCTCCGCGTAAATGAGACGCCGATCTGTGATAAGAAGACATCCGTATCCTGCTGTTTAACATTAATATTACTCGGATCGAAAACAAGATATCGTATCGTACATCACAAAATGAATTCGCGCAATTACGCGCACCTAAATTGCCGGATCTGCTATATTTGATCTCATCGGGCATATCGATGGCACCGCCAGAGAGAAGTCATTCCGTTGTGTTCCTCGCTTAAATCGAGACGTAGATCCGACGTAGAGTTGCGAAAAGAAACGAGTCATTTTCGCGTCGGCCTTGAAGGAGACACGAGCATTCGGTGCGTCCATAAACCTAAAAGTCGGCGACTAATTAGACAGAAGTATTTACTAGCGCCGTCCAATTTCAACCGAGACAAGTTTTACACATGCGTGCGTGCGTGCGAGTCAGAGGAGAATGGGAAAAAATTCACATCTATGTTTCGACCGATAAATTGTCGCCGTCGTGCGGCGTCTCGCGCGTTTCAAAAATAGGACGCTCTCGATCGCACGGCAGCCGCGTCCTCTGCATTTTTCCCCGCGGAGAAATCGGCAATCGTGTGCAGCGTGTTCCCGTGGCGATGCATAAAAATTTTTAGAGTAACGCCGCTGATCGTGACTGCACGCGCGACGAATTATGAAAGTGTGTGAAAGCCCGGGAAAGAGTGAGATATATAGGAGCGGGCGCTCGTTGGACCAGCGCATACCGAGCGCGTACGTGTGCTTTAATAACCCAATTCAACAGTTTTTTTAGCGACGAGAGTCTCGCGAACGCGCTCGGTCGGACGTGAAAAAGGAAGAAGACAGGTGGTAAGAGACCGGACGCGAATTATCACGCGTGCGTGGCGAATGAAATCGCGGTAAACGCGATAAGCACAATTCGGCCGATTTTAACGATGAACAAGTCCAATCGGGAGCGGAATGGGGAAGTTCAATTTCCGGCGAATAACGAGAACGGGCAACAAACGCATAAATAATAAATATATATGCGAGATACGAATGTATCGCGGCAATAATCGGCCCATTCTTTGACGAACTTTCCTGGTCTCGATGTTTTCCCCGACGGAGAAGGCCGTGAAACAATTTGACGTCGATATTAAACGTTTTTGCAGCTAGTCCATTCCTTCCATATCGGTTTCCGCGTTCGCCGATCCTACGTCGACGAGTTGTATTTAATTGCCGCAACGATTCTAACGCGTGGTGGAAGGCAATTAATTCTGTAATCGACAAGGACGAGCGTGCGATCTTCGCGCACCAGATCGCCACTTCTTATGTATAATTCATGTCAGATGCGGACGTAGAAAACAAGTTGCGTAGAAGCGGATTGATACAACAATAACGCTGGTAACGCATTATGGCGCAAGCGAGATATCATCTCTCTCTCGAGGGAATTATAATAAAACCGCCTGTCGTTCGCGACGCTGCGCTGACTGTCGCGTTCCCTCCGTGTTGTAATCGTTCATCGTCAACCGCGCGTGGACGTCGTTATTAACAGATGTCGGACGTTCTTACATTACGAATATCGAGAAGTTGCGACATGTGAGACTCGCGTACGGAGAAAACATTTCAAACGGTCCGCGCGGAACACCAGATGCTGTGCACCTCGTTCTTCTCGTTCGAGCAAACTCACTCGGCGAATGCAACGATCGCTGACGGCCGGGACGTCCCGACGAAACTTTCCTTCGACCGAGCTGACTCGCTGATGCATTAATTGAAGCACCAAGAGAGAGGTACGGGACAAAAGTTTCCGATGCTTTTTCATTCGTGAAGACAGGATTTGCGCGCTTTCCGCCGTCACGTTGTTCGAACGCTTGACAAACGGGGTCGTACACGACATAGCTTAGTTTAGAAGCGTGGAACGCTTTCGATAAGCCACCGTCGAGTGAGCGATTACGGATGAAAGAGTTGCGGATTAAAAGACCGCGAGATACTTATATAAAACACCTTTTATTTATTATTATATTCCGTATCGATTACCGTAGTAAGGTCGTTGTGCCTTCTAATTCGCGAAGGCCGACAAGTTTAGCTCGCGGCCGGCTTCACGTGTGCCACGACTCGCGTGAAGGTATCTCGCGTTCCCGCCTCACCGAGATCCGTATCGTTTCCTCAATGAAGAGCAGAAGACACGCAGAAAGCGAGGCAGATCGACCCGCGGATTACTCGCCGCGTTTTTCGATCGCGCTGGCGGACCAGACGCATGTAAATGAAACAACATATGCGATATCCAACCTGTGACCTGCTCTCTTCTCGGTAACGGTTGTTGTGCGACCTGGGTATTACAATCTGGCATCTCCGATAAAGTCGGTCGTATAGCGCGCGGCAGACGTTAGCGTCGTTAACGTTGCACGTTGCGTCGGGCATTATCGCGTCGAGCGGCGCACGGTAATGCGCGCTTCTCAAACGCGATGGAAATTAATTTCTCGGGCCTGGATCACCGTTTCGAATCGCAATTGTGATATCGTCCTAGAAAGCCGGTACTCAGAGGGTATACCGCGAGTCGCAGGGACATCGTGCTCTTTACGAATCTTTAGAACCGACGGCAAACGCTGATTAAGATTTATAGAATTTAAGGTGATCGTATCGCGCAGACTGCAAGATTCTCAATGGCGATATTAAGGGGTTTCAACATAAATTTATTACTTATTGAAAAGAACTATAACTTGATTCTATTCGATGGGTACCTTATCGAGTTTTCCCCGCGAGCATTCGGGAGAAAAGTCGACATTCGCGTCTACGTTCGTCGGGAGTTATTTGCGATTCGTCCCGACAAAAGTCTACTCTCGTGAAAGTGGCATTCTCCGGCCGGGAAAGGTCGCTACCGGGATACTTCGAATCTCACGTGTAGCGTTATCGTTAGTGGGAAAAAGAAAAGAAACGATCGGCCGGTCGCCGGCTGACACCCGTCGCCCGTGCCTTTCGTCGCGAATGATCGCCCGGATAAAAGCCGGAGTGGCACCCATGTCGGTCAAATCAAGATTGCATCGACACGAGAAGGATCGTGTGCAGTTATCCCCGACGAGATGATGACGTACGCGCGGCCGGCAATTTAAAGTGCCATTTGCTTCCTGTGGAAGGGAACAACGGCCTCGTTTCGACATTCAGTGCCGTTAAGTATTTACGTATAACCGGCCTAATTGCGCGTAGCGTAATGCGAAAACGACTCACTAAATCGCATGTTTGCGCGCGGATATACCGCCTTTTCCTACGAAGACAATAGAAAACGTAGAACGAAAAAATGAAGAAGAAAAATCACCGAAATGACCGAGCGATTAAAGCTAAAACGCGGAGATACTCTTATCGAAGTGTGATCTCGCCTGTGGCGCGCGGTTTATCGATCTTGTTTGAAACGTAAATTGGTGCGTGGACGCGCCATGTAAAGCGACGGCAAAACGGTATCAGGTTCGTCGAAACCGCGGTTGCGGGAAGTTCTATTCCGCCGAACCTCTGCGAAATACCGTGCGCGATTTTCGAGTTGCACGTTTCGGGTCGCGCAGTTACCGGTTTCACCGGATACCTCGGCAGCCGCGGAATCAATGGTAATTCCCAAATTAGTTCCGACTCGACGTCGCGTTTCACTCCGGCGCGTTTCCACTCCGTTTCAATCTAACGAACCATTTTTGATTTTTCCACAAATGCTGAACGCGCCACGCGACCAGACGCGCGATACACCGCCGTCCGGAAGCGGCTGGAATTTTCACGAGCCGGGAAGAAACGCCGGAAATCACTGGTACCGCGCGAAGGGTTAATGTGCGATTGCACGGAACGATAAAAACGCGGACACTGGATCGCGCTGGAAGCTTGCGAATGCAT